TTTTTTGAGACAGGGTTTCTCTGTGTAGCTTTGAGCCTTTCCTGGAACTCGCTCTGTAGACCAGGCTGGCCTCGAACTCACAGAGATCCGCCTGCCTCTGCCTCCCAGTGCTGGGATTAAAGGCGTGTGCCACCACCGCCCAGCAAATGTTAAGGTTCTTACATCCTAAAACCTTTGGATTTGTTCCTTTTGTGTACATGACCTGTGCTTGTGAGAGCATGCAGAGGTCAGAGGACAACGCTGGAATCAGGTCTCTCCTTTCACCATCACAACAACTGCTGAGATCCACCTTAGGTAATCAGCCTCACACAGCAAGCTCCTCACCCGCTTTCTCACCAGAGCAACATTCGAACAATCCTTTCCCCCGCCCCCCCTTTTCTTGTTTCTTCAGACAGGGTTTCTCAGTGTAGCAGCCCAGGCTGTCCTGGAACTCGCTCTGTAGACCATATTGGTCTCAAACTCAGAGATCCGCCTGCCTCTGCTTCCGAGCGCTGAGGTTAAGGGCAGGCATGTACTACCACCTAAAAAGAAAACACACACACAGTGCAAACAACAAACTCTAGCACCCAGCCATGGTGTCACGTGCCTGCAATTTCATGAGGTGAAGGCAGAAGGATTAAGGCATTGTGGCAAGCCTGGGCTATGTAGGAAGCTGTCTCAGCAAAACAAAACTGGGAGAGGTGTGTTTCAGGAAAACAGACTACATTTTCCAAATGCAATTCACGGAGAGAAATTCAGGGAGCCACTAGCTCCTCAACAGCAGCAGCTCCCTGGCAAGAAGCCAGGGAGTACAGTAACGACATTTTTTTTTTTAGCATAAATCAAATTTTGTTTCTCTTTTAGAATATTTCTTGCCCTCCCTTCTTTTATGGTTTTTCTAGAACAAACTCAGCCCAAGCTGGCCTTGTACTCATGAATCTGCCTCCTGAGTGATGGAATTGCAGGTGCCTACCACTGCATCTGGCTTTTTTGAAGTAGTTCTGATCGGCAGAGTAATGTCATCTTTATGTTTGTGAAGTCTGAATACTAAGCAATAAAACTGATCAAGATCCTGATACTGTAGGCAGGTTATAGTGTAAGAGTTCACAAAACAGCTTGCCAACAATGGCACAGAGAAATGACTTTAGAGGCATCTTCCTGGTTTCACAGGAGCCCTGAAGTAACATAGGCTCAAGGGCTATAATGCAAATAAGGAACTGGAGAGCAGTGTCGAGAACTCCCCACCTCACAAAGCAACACCTTAGAGAAAGCTTGTTTTTAATTTCTAAATTATGTACAACAGTTAATAACCTGCATTTAAAAAGCCCACATGCCCAACTTCTAAGTAACGTGATGCTTTGAAAATCTCAATCCTTTTACAATTGTATTTTTGTGTTTCCTTTAGTAGGCAATATTAAGTATGAATTAATCTTTGATACAATTTCAAAATGCCCCAAAGATTTAGTTCAAATCCACAACACATTTCACTGCCCAGGAATCTTCCCAAATAACTTTCAGAAAATGAACAGTATAGAGAAAGTAACAAATGGGTGAGGAGATTTTTATTTATTTCCTCACTTAGGAAACAAAGTATCTTCAATCTGTCTTGTTTCCCCTCATTATTTTTAGGTAGGTCTCACTATAGGGCTCTGGCTGGGCTGGCACCCTCCTCGTAAACCCCACTGTCCCAAACTCACAGTCTTGCTGGGCTCTGGGGGGTGGGGGGACACTTTAAGATGAGCACAACCTCCCCGCCCTTCAAACTTACTTTAAGCCAATTTGTTAAATGCTGGCCAACTACTTTATCACCAAGCTTCAGCCTAAGTCCTAGATTTGGAACGATTCATTTAGTTTATCGCTTTAAAAACTATCAATTATAAAGAGTGCTTGTAACAATACTGGCTGGAGAGATGGTTCAGCAGTTAACAAGCACTGGCTACTCTTCCCAAGGACCCAGATTTGATTCCTAGCACCCACATGGCAGATCACAACCCTCTGAAACTCCAGTGCTAGGAGATCCAATGCCTTCTTCTGGCTTCTCTGAGGATACCAGGCAAATGGTTCATAGACACACATGCAAGCAAAACATCCATGCTGATAAAATAATAACAATAATTATAAAGTACAGAAAATACACAACTATCACAAGAAAGCACTGTGTATCTTTAGCAGCTCTACTAAACTCTGGTGGTATTTATACAACATCTAATCCAGTACCCTCTAGATGTTATAAAGATAGCTTTTACATAATCAATGAAAACCAGTCAATTTCCACTGAGACTATAATGTACTGTCTGTCCTTTAGAAATAACTTGCTAACAAATCTCTCTTAATAGTAGCCAAAGACCAACATTTAATTTCAGCAACTAACCAGCAATTGACTTTATCTTTTCTCCTAACAAATGTTATACAATTGTACCTGTAGGGTACTGGATAGCCTTTTAAAAGGCAATTTAAGAAGCCATTACTTTTTTTTGGGGGGGGGGTGACTACTCTTCAGAGAAAAGAGAACTATGATATGGACACTAACAGTTTATCATATAAAGAGTGAGGGGGGGAGAAGGGGAAGAGAGGGAGGGGGAGGGAGGGGGAAAGAGAGGGAGAGAGAAAGAGAGAGACAGGAAGGGGGGAGAGGGAAAGCCAGCCACGTAGTAGCAGTAGTGGGCAGGGTGAGTCATCACCCAGCTCGAAACTTGCAGCAGTACTTCTGAGTCTCCTCCCACCCGACCCCAACCCCTTCACAAGGCACCCTGAGTCAGCACGCCTTCCTTACTATTTGGTCAGTTATGAATTCTCACGATGCCTACATGAACTTATGTAAAATGCTGCAGCGCTTTAGCGCTCGCACTTGTCTTGAAACGGCTGCCTTTTCTACTGCAAAACTAAATGTTCTTCAAATCAGTCTTCTCCAGATTCTTTTTTAATCGCGGAAAGTGGGCAGGCTACTTTTAATCCTCTTCTGCAAATGACTAAACTCCAAAATATCCTCACATAGAAAGCTGATTTTAAAACGGTTTTTCATTTCCCAGGGTCTTTTTTCTCTGAACAGTAATACTGAAGTGACAGAATAGTCTGCCCAAATCTAGCAAGCTTCAGAGATGACAAATATTCATTAGGACACCAGTAAGCAAGATTTATGATGTAGTTAGATTAACTAGTACAACATATATGTCCAAGCACCTTACAGTTTTTAACTACAAGCTAAAGATATTTTTCTTCCACCCAATTCAAAATTATTTCCAAACAGCAAAACCTATCATTTCTAAGAAAACTCTAAAGCTGAGGGTAATGCGCACACGTGTTAAAGCCCAGCAGGAAGCCGAGGCAGGAGAATCGTTTCTCAAAGCCTAGCTGGGACTACGTGGCGAGACCGTCTCCACAAACAAAACAACAAAAACCCTTTGAGGGCCAGACCCTGTTTGGACCCTACATTCTTCTCTATTCAAATCACTCCAACTCAGTTCTCCGACGTTAAAGAGACAGACAGAACGTTAAACCCCAGAATCTTACCAAAATAAACACGCTGGAATAATCAACAATTTAGAAAATTATTCTGAAGCTAGCTGCTCTTCGTTGGATGGCCCGTGAATGTTTTTTTTTTTTTTCTTCCCCTCTGACAATCATCTGTAGCCATAAAAAGTTAATACAGGACTGCCTCGGGACTCTTAGCAACGCACACGGGCTGTTCAGATACAGTAAGGCGACCTCCTGACTCTCCCTTGCTAGGTCCCTTCGCTCGATCTTTCCGTACTTTCAAACCACCAAGGTAAAAAAAACACGAAAGCGATCTAAAGGCGCCCGCCGCACGCAGCTCCCCCAGGCACCTGAGCCGGAGAGACCACGCCAGGCAGGAACAAAAGGCGGCCGAAAGCCCTCCGCTCCGCACAACTCCCAAGTCGGATTATAACAAGCTCCAAGTGCGGAGGCCTGGAACCGGTAACGTACGTTTTCATCTGGGTTGTTTTTCCGGATCACACCTTAACGTCCGGAAAGGGTGTCAGGAGCCCCGTCTCCGGCCGGCCGGTCGCCCGCACCTCGTGGACGGCCAGACAACAAACTTGGGCGGACTTAGGGGCTGGAGCCGAGAGCTACGCAACGTGCCGGGGGAAGACTTTGCCCGGCCCGAGTCAGCTGAGGCCGAGTCACCCGGGCGGGCTGGGGGAGGAGACAGGAGAGCGTTAGGGAGGCAGCGAGCCAGGAAGGCAAGCCTCCGTCGCCTCAAGCGCTCCTGGACCACCGCCCTCGCCTGCGCGCTGTGGCGGGGACTCGAACCCGCGGAACCGGGCGCGGGAGGGGGGGGAGGCGGAGACTCGAACCCTCGCAAACACAGCCCGGCGCAGGCGGCGGCAGC